ATTAATGTTTCCTTCAAGTCCTTGAACACAAAACATTGACTAAAATGTCATTGTTCTTTTTATAATAATTCCTTTAATATTAAACTTAATCTTTACTCTTGTTTTGATATTCTTTATAGACAATCACATTCTCATAAAATAATGTTTTRAAATATATTGTCTAAACAAATGAGTACATAATACAAAAGAGAGAGAGATGTGATGGTTTGTTGAGAGACATGTTGGAATTCTTGAAGTTAATTTTGTGTCTGAAGGTGCCWGGGTTCAAATCCCAGACCATTGTGACAGCAAGATATATACAAATAAAAAATACYGTACATAAAGTGATAGGAAGAAAAAAGAGAGAAGTGAACATCCAAATAAACTACAGACATAATATTCCTAGACTGAGTGAAGAGTAGTTAATTGTTCCCTCTCCCTTAATTGAAGTTCAACCATGGCTTACATTGACTTTCAACAACCTTATTGTCAGYCAACTCAGAGGTTTTTATTCACAGCCTTCTCCCCTTTCTCATGRACATCTTGCCAGTGATACGTCTTTGGGGGCTTAACTTGAATAAACGGATACGCCACACACCTAAAGTTACACCAGCGCTTCTTCAAATTTCCTACRAGGCTCCATCTGTCTGAATCACTATTATATTTCTCAACTGTTGTGGTACCTCCCCCACCAAACACAAAAATRCTTCCTTGTAGWACCCCCACAGCAAAGTCCCGACGAGGATGACTTAGAGGAGCAACCAGCGTCCAACAGTCATGTTTAGGATTRTAGATTTCTACAGACTTACAAGAAGAGCCAAGTTTATCRCATCCASCAATGGCATACAARAGGCCATTTAACACTACCAGCTCATGTCTAAATCTTGGAACAATCATGGATGCACACTGYATCCATTTTTTAGATTCTRTACAGTAGCACTCRGTGGAAGTTGTAGCCAGTTCTCCTGGYGGAGTTATTCCCCCTGAAACATACACACTGTTATGAMGAACTGCACTTGAGTGGTATCCTCTGCGWATGCTCATTGAYGGCAATCGYTGCCATGAATTGGTCTTCAAGTSCARGTACTTTGCWCGTTTTCCACCTCCTATTACAAAAATTGAGTCAACACCACTGCAGGCAACATATTCACTTTCTTTCATRCCATCCACAACTCTCAACCATTGGTTCTTCTTGGGGATGTACCTGTCAATCATAAGTCCACCGCCAATGAGTAAATARAGCTCGTTATTCACAACTAATGCAGTTCCGGAAATTTCTGTCATATTTGGTACCTCKGTGCAKGCCCCAGTTTCAGTGTTAAAGGTTTCAACCTTGGAATCAAATAACTCTGATATCAAATACAAGACATAAGGAGACTGTCTTGCTTTTTCGATGGTTTGTTTGGATTTCTTTTGCTTTGAGGAATAGATGGATTCCAATGCTGTTTCTGCTAAGTCTTCCCATTCTGGTACTYGGCAAAATGTTTCATCTTCTAAAACAACTTCTTCTAAGTATTCAGGATCAAGGCAAGTGAATCGAATGTGTTTCATTAAGTCCTATAAATGATAATGTTTGTAATTCTTAGTATTTTATCAGTTTTTTTCCAGCCTAGTACCAAGTGTTCCTCACCTCTAGCCTTACATGAGACCAGCCACCCATTTGTCCAAGGAACCAATTACTGGCAAGGAATCCCTGGGTACTAGGCTAACRACTTCCATTGGATATATAATACCACCCATACTAATGTCRCACCAAACATATAGTCAAATACATTTTTATCAACCCTTGAGCCTTCCCCCCTCCCCCCATGGAATACTTCATGATGTCCTTTTGGGATCCCTCTGGTACACTAGAGTAGAGAGAAGACTGGAAGGGAAGAGAGTCGTGAGGAGGTGGCTTCATCAAGCTTATTTATTTGACTTCAAACCAAGTACTGTAAGTAACCTAAATTCCATTGCACCAAATTTAATTGACATGATTGGCTAATGTAGAAAATGAAAATCATGTTTCAATTGGCATAACATTTAGCATAAGATGTCCAAGATATAAGGGATATGAAGTCAGGACCATGGCTACCCTTGTTGGTTTTGACCTAACCTTATTCTTGTCTATTCTAGTTTCATCTTCTTGATACCAGGCCATCAAAGCTTCAAATACGTCGTCTTCTCCATTCACATGAAGCGAATCCTGGCTGATTATCTGGTCAAGTTGGTGTCCAGGAATTAACGAAAACTCCTCCTCTACGCACAAATCCATGAAATTCCACGAAATAAAATTATCAACTTTTGACTGCAAACTTGTCAGTGCATATTGGTTAGCCAAAGACCGAATTCCTAAGCAGTTCTCAAGCTGAATTTCATCCATCATGAATTCCGCACATTCTTGGACAATTTCTGGTATTTGAAACAGGTTAGCCGTTGCTAGAATTCCTTCAATGTTATCCTGATTGATTACTAGCTTGCAGGAATAGAAGTAATCTATCATTATCTGAACAGAATCGGCCTCGCAGTCTTGTAAACATATAGTACTCATGTAGGACTCAGCGAAACCAGTTGTCAACATAGCACGAAAATACGGACTRCAGGCTGCAATTACGATACGATGAGCTTTAATTTCCTTGTCGTTTACCTTTAGAGTAACATCAAGCAGCTCTTCATATTCTTTTAGTTCGTTGAAATTTTTAAAAGCTTGTTTYTCATGTGAACCCACCACTTGACGTTCCCTTGTCTTGGYATCCGCCATGTTGCTTCCAACACAGGTAGCCCACTTACCTGCAAACAGTCAACAAAGATGGCGACCTCCTGTACAGAAAATGATGAAACAGATTTTAAAGATACTTTGAATTCAAGCATAAGTAAATTATCAGACGAATGCAGAAGCTTACTTTATGAAAGCTCAGGTATTTACTTGTGGAGTCTGAAATTGCTTCGTGAAATAATTTTAGAGATCGACAAGTACAGTCTTGAAGTTTTTAACAAACGCACCGAGGCACCTTTCCTCCTTTGATCTAAGGCTGGCCCACCTGTAATCTGGCTACCATTAGCTTAATGCCCATGAGATGACAATAATTATATGACTCGACATCATTTCATCAAATATGACTTATTGAATATAACATATTCTGTATTTTTTGCAGCCAATATTCAAGAAGCTCAGCTACTTACAAAATCACTAGTGAAGTGTCAGTCTTGCTTGAGAACTTTAGCTAAGAGGTCGGCGAYGAAAAGAATGAGTGTTAATTTATGCAAACACATCCCCCTTCTTGCATACCTGTTGCCCCAACCCAAGTTCCAAAACTTAACAGTTATTATAAAGTCCCTTTTATACAAGACCTGCATGTTTTCTCAAATGATTGATTGATTGAATGTTTGATTGATTAATTGAATGTTTGATTGATTGATTGACTGAGTGACTCACTGATTGATTGATTGATGGATTGATTGACATATTAATTGATTGATTGATGGTTGATTGACTGATTGATTAATTAATTTTCAGTGATGAAAAGTTAAGTAAAGATATAGTTATTGTACTTCTTCAAGATTTTTGTCAGGTGGGCTTTATCTGATTCATGATTGATAATATCATAATAACTCTGTAAATCAAAAAGTACAATCAAATATACAATCACCTCTTTTATCAGGCCATCATGGACAAAACCTTCGTGGAAGAGAATAGACTGGTTGAAAAGGACTTTGTAGAAAATGACAGCAAACAGCAAATTGTCTTAATATTAGGTAATAAAACTGGGAGATTGTCAGCAGAAAAGCAGACTTTCTCTAACATAATCCCTCAATTCTTTAGTTGTCGCACACAACTGACTTACGTGTGTTGTAGAGTAGATTTACACGACACAACTCGTGTCGTAGGGATGACGCGAGCAAGCTCGAGCAAGTTGCATGCGATGGTTGTAGCATGGCAAAAGTTGTACCATCTAAATCAGCCTTTATGTTGTCTCACTGAATGTAAGCTTTGTTCTATGGAACAAAGAGTTTAGAAAGCTGCTGAATTTTCTCTTATTGTTATGATTATCTTCATATCAGCTGTTCTGAGCTAATTTCTAAGTAGCAATGGGATTTTGTTTCTGTCAGATTACCTCACATTACCAGAAAAGCTTGCCAATCACTACATAAACACATCTGAAGATATAGATCTTAAGGTCAGTAGCACTTACAGTTGTTTGATAAAAAGTGTGATCACCTAAAGTATGTTACTATGAAGTGTTTTTGTGACTCCAAATCTTGTTAAAAACAATACAAAACCAGACTCGTACCCAGTCGTTACTTACGCTCGAAGAGGTGCCAGTCGCTTCGCGCTTTCCCTTCGCCCTTCCCTTGATGCATTGCGCGTCTCTAAAAAAGCCGGAGAAGCGACTGGGTACGAGTCTGATACAAAACCAAACAAGAGAACACTTTGAAGAAAGACTGATCACCCTTAAGACTTCAAGTTAAAGGTATTTGGTCTTATACAGCTTTTATAAGAATGTTACATTGCTATATCATAGTTAATAGAGAGGACTGTCTTCTCTATTAATTATGGTTACAGTACGTACATCCCAGATATAATTCAGGTGCTTACAGTTTTTAAAATTCAAATTCAAATTCTTCACCGTTTATCTTAAGCATTTTGTTGTCATTCTATTAGTTTCAAATTTAAGAAAATGTTTACACCTAATTACAAAAACGTTGTCCTGAGATTTAGGGATTTAGGAAATTAGGACAAAACATGACCACAGAAGCCGAACACTTTCTTTTGTATTTTAATTAATTCCTAAATTAGTAAAAAGTTCTTTTTTCTTGGACAACGTTTGTGTAATTAGTTGTATATTATAATCTAGTATTTTTTTCTACTTAAATTTTCAGCTTGAGAGCCTTCTTAGTGAAGAGATTTGGGAATGCTTGTGTTGGAGAAGAGGTGCCCTTTTGTACATGTATTGCCATACTGTGTACAATGATACTGTGAGGTGGAAGGCAGGGGCAGCAGAATTTGTTAAGGTGCACAATCTTTTGTGTACAATCATTACATTCAAGTTTCTCCTTTTTTCTCTTTTATGTTGCCTACAATCA